GCGATGGATTCGCAAGTGACCCTTGTAAATATAAACGGTGGACACACACACATTGAATTTTAAACTTAGCACAGTTACTTACACTTAAGTGGGATTTCTGGTCGATTAAGTGCATTGTTCACTTTGACAATGGAGAGCCGGCCAAGTTCCTCGAAATGTCAGCATTTTAATAAACCAGTTTCGGTGAGCCCATCTTCTTCTTCCTCAAATAATCAACCCGGATATTTCAACTTTGCCAATCTGATCTGATCGGAGTCTGTTAGGCATTAATTGCAAAGATGCACTCAGCAAATTTCAACATTGTGTCGACTTCAGTCTGCAGGCAGACCGCGTTTCTAACAAAAATCTCAGTTTTCAAAGTCATAGAATCGCCAAAGTCAGTTTTTCAGATCATGGAATATGTTACTATTTAAAAAAACAGCTAGATCGCGGACAGTTACAATTTAAACATTAAACGAATTACGAAAAGCTGCAGTGAATGTGGTCGTTATCATTATAAACATGCGCATGATAGCATAGGAATTGCAGCTTATAAATATTTCACCCGCTGTACTCTACAACATCAGTCTGTTGCTGTCCTTGATCAAAAAGGGATTGGGGAAACCCAGTGAACATTATTTTCGCTCGAGCGATCGAATGATTCTCCTCACTTCAAAATGGCACTGCGAAGAATGCTTGTCTTCTGAAAAATAAGTGGGTTCAGTCTCCGAAGTTGTTCCTAAGCCTAACTGGTGGGATTCGAACCCACAACAGCAAAGAGAGGCTTTCGTGCAGCCAACGATCTAGCCACCTGAGATACGAGGTCCCACCGGACGACACGAGTTTAATCGCATCTCAATCAAGTTTACCCGTTCGATCTACAACAACGTTTGGAATCCACCTAATCTGATACAGTAAGCTGTCTGTCCAGGCATGATTTTCTATGAATCCACGTCATGGCTACGAGTCTCACATAATTCATAGGTATTATGGCAGATACGATTACTGTAGCGTCGTCCGATGGAGCCTCTTAGCACAGGTGACTAGAGCGTTGGCTGAATTAAGGCTTCCCCATTCTGTCGTGTGTTCAGACCCCATCGAGACGCCAAGTATTTCATATTAGTATCAAAATAACTGGTCTGTGTTCTTGAGTTTAATACGGCAATATCGACAATAGTCGGTCAAGCTGCAATAGGGGTGTCTTGTGAGTCAACATAAGGAGATATGGATTACTTGACATAGTTAAACCCTTGCTGTCTCGACTTCAAATCCCACCGTGGCACCGAGCCTTTACAGATCGATCGAGGTGGATGTGTGGGTCTTTAAGAAATATATTCTTAGATATTTTGACAGATTTTGAATAATTCATATTTACCCAACTGTATAAAACTCGGCGAATCGGTGGGTTTCGAACCCACGCAGTAAGGGGGAGTCGTCAGTACAGCCAACGCTCTAACAACCTGAGCTACGAGGCCCCGCCGTACGACGCGAGTTTTATCACATTTGGGTCAAGTTTCGCGCCCAACTTACTGCAACGTCTGGAATCCACCAAATCTGATACAGTCATTTGACTGCCCAGGCAGGATTTCCTAAGTAATACATCTAGAATCCACCAGATGGCTACGAGTAATTCATATAGGTATTCAACGCTATTCATATAGGTTATTCATAGGTATTATGACAGATACGATTAATGTAGCGTCGTCCGGTGGAACCTTTTAGCTCTGTTGGCTAGAGCGTTGGCTGTACTAAGGCTTCCCCTTGCTGTTGTGGGTTCATGCCCCACGGAGGCGCTGAGTATTTCATGTGTGCATAAAAATGACTCGTCTGCGTACTTGAGTTTTATACGGCAATATCGAAAATAGTCGGCCAAGCTGCAAAAGGCTCGCCTTGCCAGTCAAAATAAGGAGATATGGATTACTTGGCATAGTTAAACCCTTGCTGTCGTGGGTTCCAGTCCCATCGTGGCACCGATTTTTAACAATTCAGTCAACGTGGATGCGTGAGACTTTAGGAAATATATTCTGTAAACTGAAGGGACTCTCGGTTCTAACGGATTGGCAATTTAGGACTATACAGTGTTTTTACTTTCAGTTATGGCACAAAAGTTATATGTAAGGTAAATTCCCCGCGAGATGGTATCAAACATGCAGCCCTGTGTTACGTCTTACTCATTGCATTAGGGCTCCTGTCATCATTATTCACAAACCAAGTGACAGACGCGAGCAGATCACGCCACTTCAGGTGCACCGATTTGCACTAAAATCTACTGATCCGATGCGGAGGGGGGGGGAGGGAGCTGGCTGGGTGGGATTTCGTGTGTGCAGATTGCAGGCGTGTTGGTGTTGTGTGTTAGCAGGGTGGGGCTTCGGTTCCCGTGAAAGAAGAGAATGACGCACTCTCTACCCGATCTTCTCTTCAGTCTCGCAGCGACTGCCGCCCTGAATTACGCTAACCCTTCGCCGAAGCTCAATGTTGCCAGAGGTGATCAAGATTGTGGTGTGGAATTGTTGTCTTTCGGCGGCTGTACTTCAAACGCAGTCTGCTGAAAAGCGCGTTGTCGATCAGAGTTAGGCAAACATCGGCAAAATCGCACTGCTTGAAAACTGCACAAGGTTATATAAAATACAGGCTTATGGTTTGATCTTGGGCACGATAAACGACGGTGGCGTAAGTGACAGTGGGAGAACGAGAAGGATTAGATCAGATGATACGTCGGCTCCACGGCCCGAGACGCAGACAAAGGGACCTGGCAGGAGATGTCCAGGTAAACGACCCCTAGGTAAGCTGAATATTGCCCTGTTGTCTTTGCCCGCTAACTATCTCCATTTCAGCAATGAGCTAGCTCAACAGCTAGACAACTTCCCAATCGCTAATGCAGCCGCCTCTGCCGCCGTTGAGGAGAACGCATCCGTGGAGAACTGTTGGGACACAATCCAGTCGAAGGCGCTGGCCTTCCTCGGTCGCGCACCCTGTCAAACACAACCTGCTCTCCGAGAATGAACGCCTGCAAAAAGCCTACATCGACCACCCCACCGACGAGGACAACAAAGCAGCATTCTACCGTTGCCGCCGCCTTGTGCAACAGCGTCTGCGCGAGATGCAGAACGCACGGACGGCCCGCAAGGCTAAGGAGATCCAAGGGTACGCCGACTACAACGAATGGAAGGACTACTTCTCCGCCATCTACTGTCCGCCCGCCAAAGGTATCGCACCTCTCCTCGGCGCCAACTGAAATACCCCGCTCATAGAGAAGACGCAAATTCTGCAGCGATGGGCCCAACAATTCAGAGGCGTCCTCAAAAATCCCTCCACCATCTCCGACACCGCCATCGTCCGCCCGCCCCAATTGAAGACCAACACCAACCTCGACCTCCCACTCCCTCTTCACGAGACTATTAGTACCGTGCAGCTGCTCTCCAACGAGAAAGCGCCCGCATCGGACGCTAGCTGCGCGGAGGTCTACAAGCACGATGGTCCCGAATTCATGGAGCATCTGACGGCACTGTTTCAGGATATGCGGCGTCAAGGAGAAGTCTCGCATGACTTCAAGGACACCACTATCATCCACCTATACAAACGGATAAAAAACCGCCAGCTCAGCGACAACTACCGAGGCATCTGCTTGCTGAACATTGCCGGTAAGATATTCGCTCAAATTCTTCTCAACCGCCGGCACAATCACTTGGATCAATGTCTTCTGGCGAAAAGTCAGGGCGGCTTTGGCCGTTATCATGGCACCATGGGCAGGATCTTTACCACCCACCAACTGCAGGATAGGCGTCAGGAGATGCGGACCCAACTGCACTTTTCTTTCGTGGATCGGACGAATGCATTCGACAGGGTGAATTGTGACGAAATGTGGATAATCATGCGGTGATTTGGCTGCCGCGGACGACTCAGTCAGAGGGTGCGTCAGCTCCATGATGGCATGATTGCACGCATTACGGACAATGTAGATGTCTCGGAGGAATTCGCACTGACCAACGGCATAAAACACGGCCGCGTCCTTGCGCCTACCCTCTTCAGTCTTATGTTCCCATCCATGCTGATGGACGCTTAATGCGACGAACGCCCCGGGATCCGCCTCGCCTATGGGACGGCTGGCCAAGTCCTCAACCACAGACGGATGCACTTCCGGTCACGTGTATCCACAGTCACCATCCATGAACTTCTGTTCGTCGATAAGCATCTCGGGATCCGCATCGCCATACAGAACTGTGTGCAAACTGTTTAACCACCTGACGATGCAAATTTGATAGCGTTCTTCCACAACCACCGTCCACTAGGAGAGTCAGACTGAAACAACTCCTTCTCAGCGTGTTTACGGCACCCTCACGCATGTCAGATGTACACTGCGCAACCCGATTTGTGTGCAATCATGGTGCTTGTGTTTGAGGAGCTAGGACATGCATGGAGCGCGCGTATACACGTTCACTAGACCCTGTCAACCACCGCGCCCATTCCACGATCCAGTCAATGGACCGTCTCGGACATTGGCTGTGGCCTGAGAATGTGAAGTGAGAGTGAGATCGACGACTCAGCGCATTTTCCTCCTCATTATAAAGTATCTGAAGCTATCACGGTGCACTAAAAGAAGTGGCTTGGCAGGTTGCCAACTGACGGGATAGCATGGACCTCGCAGTCGACCTAATGTGTTTGCGTATGGAGTGGCTGGCTGGTGGCCTTAGAGTCAGGTTCCAATGGCTTCATCATACCGTGGCTTCTATGGCACTCCCAATGCGTGGGATCTGACCCGGGTGTGGCGGCACGCCTAGGTGCGTCTCAGCCGCGCCAGCCTCAATTCTTAGTTCTTGTTGATGTTGTTGTTTGTCAAAAACCCGGTTGTTTGCCGTTTGGACCAGGGGGTGGGGAGTGGAACGCCAAGGTGCGGGCTCGACCGTACCACCAAACTGCGCCCTCCCCTACCTCCGGTTCTCTGGACTCTGTCTTGAAGCCAACTCCAGGTGGGGGAGGAGAAGAGTGTGGTAGATACAGCGCAAGTCTTCCACCTCTTTAAACTTATGCACGCGCAAGTCACTGTCGCTGATCTCACACTGTTGTGGAGCGTACGGAGGACGTCGTCGGATGCGACGGTCGAAATGTTGTGGCGTTGTCGTAGTCAGGCCCAGGCCAACATTGGTCTTTCTTCCACTGAACAAAAGTCGGGGATCAAAGTGGAGTTTGGTAGCCGTCTGGGACATATGCGCAGCCTTATATATTTAAAGCACTGCTTACCCCCGCAAAAGGAGAGGGGCTAGAAAAGTTGATCTAAACAAATGCTGGAGTCCCACGCCGTCTGTAGGTTGATTATTTCCACAGACTCGAAACTCACTGTCAAATAGATTAAAATCGAAACAACACTCTTGCCCTTCCTCCCCTTCCCTCTAATCCTTCCTCTCTCCCGCCATTTTCCCCCCTTCCTCCTCCTGCTACGCCTCCTCCACATTCGCGTCGCCCCACTCGTTGTCCGCAGACTGCCAGGGTGAGTCCGCTCACTGTGGCAGCCTTGAATGTTCGTTCCCTTCTAGACAATCCGGGGGGCAACTGATCGGAACGGCGAGAACAGGCGCGATACAAGGTGGACATCGCCGCACTCAGAGACAACCGATTTTACGAACAAGGCCAACTGAAGGAGGTGGGTGTGGGCTACACCTTCTTATGGAGTGGTTGACCGAGGGCAGAGCGACGAGACGCGGGTATCACTTTCGCCATCCGGAACGACATCGTGGGACGACTGCCATGTTTGCTGCAGGTCATCAACGATCGCCTGATGAGCCTCCGCTTTCCTCTCTGGGTTGGAGAAATTATCACCCCTGTCAGTATCTACGCTCCGCAAAATGCAGTTCGCAATCGTTACGGGCTTCACATCAGCCCCGAACCTAGAGATACACAAGGCAGTTATCCTGTCGACGTTGATACATGGAGCGGAGACCTGGACTGTGTACATGAAGAAGGCACGTAGACTCAATCATCTCCATCTCAGCTGTCTTCGACAAGTATTGAATCTGAGGTGGCAGGACGAGATCCCAGACACGGACGTACCGGATCGAATGGGTATCCTCAGCATACCTGCAATGCGGCCAACTAGTACGGATGGACGACGGGCTACTAAAAAGACTCTTCTTTGGCACTAAAAGCATACAACGAAAATACCTCTTGAAGCGCCTGTAGATAAACCTGGCAAGCTGGGAATACCCCGTCCTGGACAAACCAATGTGGAAGAGAACATTGAGGACAGGCTCAACAATCGTCGGAGCCAATCACATCACCGCCGCCGCCGCCTCACAACGCCATCGTCCAATCATCTCCAACATGTCCACAATGACAGCGAGCATTCTGGACGCCAATTGGACTTTTTGGACACCTCCGTTCCGACTGCGGCACACGGACTGCACCAACCCTCGTCTCTCCTCCCATCTCTCCTTTGCACCTCCCACAAGATCAACTAACCTGGATCGCCCGCCCCGAGGCACAACTAACATCTTCTTCTTATCCTTCTTCTTCTTCTTCTTCTTCTTCTTCTTCTTCTTCTTCTTCATCATCATCATCATCATCCTCCTCCTCCTCCTGCTCCTCCTCAACATCTGCTGATGTGGCTTCTGACATGCCCATTAACACAACAAACAATCATTACACACTAACAAACACCAACACCACATCCACCGCCAACACCGATTATAAGGACCCGGTCTATACCCCACCCACTTGCGATCCTCCCTTCGCCTCACTTTTCGGTCTGGTTGGACGGCGATGCGGTTGGCTTCGTAGATCGCAGCGCCTGTCTTCACTATCCTCCTTCAGGTCGGTCAGTCGGTCGACTGCAAGCTCTTCCCAATTAGTCGGGTTGATTTGCGGACGCTTCAGGGAGGACTTCAGGGTATCCTTGTATCGACGAATTTGGCCTCCTTGACGGCGAGAGCCCGTGGCGGCGTCTCCGTAGAAGATTCGTTTGGGTAGTCCCTCGTCGTTCATGCGCACCTGGTGGCCGTTCCAACGCAGCTGCATTTGTCGCAGCGTGGTGTAGATGCTGAGAATTCCGGTCCGTTCCAGCACATCGGTTTAGCGGATTCGACCTTCCAGCTCAGACTCAGGATGCGATGAATACAACTGAGGTGGAAGTGGCTCAGTCGGCGTGCCTGTTTTGTGTACACCGTCCAAGTCTCCTATCCGTACAGCAGCGTCGGCAGGATGACGGTCTTATACGTCTTCACCTTCGTGCTCAGTTGGAGTTCGTGACGATTGCAAACTGGCCTTGGGGGCGGCCGAAGGCTTGACTGGCTTTCGAGATCCTGCAAGGCTATTCGTCATTAATTTTGGTGATACGGGAGAGGGTACTGGCCAAATACGCGAAGTTCTCCACCACTTGCAGTTGGGTACAATTCACGCTGATTTGTGGCGCGTTGGGGGGGGTGTGGTTGACTTGGGTGGCGGTAAATGCATCAGCACCGTCTTCTGAGTGAAAATGACCAGACCGAAGTTCTCACAGGCGGCAGAGAACAGGTCCATGATCCGTTGCATCTCCTCTTCCGAGGTGGTGTTCAGGGCGCAGTCGTCGGCGAAGAGGTGTTCGCGAACGGCGGTTGTAGATACGCGCGATTGGCAGTTCATCCGCCTTTGATTCAGGAGGTGACCGTCCGTCCTGTAGGCGATGCGGATCCCCGGGGCGTTCGTCACGGTAGGCGTCCATCAGCATGGCAGAGAACATAAGACTGAAGTAGGTTGGCGCCAGCACGCATCCCTGTTTCACTCCGTTGGTCACTGCGAATGCCTCTGAGACAGCTCCGTTGTCCGTGACTCGCGCCATCATACCGTCCTGCAGCTGAGGAACCATCTGAGTAAATCGCTTCGGACAGCCGAATTTCTGCATGACCTTCCACAGTCCTTCACGATTCACCGTGTCGAAGGCTTTCGTCAGGTCCACGAAGGTAGAGTACAGGTGGGTCCGCATCTCCTGACACGTCTCTTGAAGCTGATGTGCGGCGACGATCATATCCGTGGTCCCGCGACGACGACGGAAGCCACATTGGCTTTCCGGTAGGAGGCCCTGTTCCAGATGATTGGTGAGGCGGTTGAGGAGGATGCATCCGAAGATCTTCCCGGCAATTTTAAGCAAGTAGATGCCGCGGTGATTTTTGCATACTTGGCGGTTCCCATTTCGCTTGTATAGGTGCACGTTGGTTGCGTTTTTGAAGTCTTGTGGGACTTCACCTTGATGCCACATCTCTCGGAAGAGCGCAGTCAGGTGATCCATTAGTTGAGGACATTCGAGCTTGTAGACCTCAGCAGAGATTACGTCCGATCCGGGTCTCCTTGAGAGATGGCGGGAGGTCGAGGTCTGCGTTGGTCTCCACTTGAGGTAGACGGGCGCTGGCGGCATCGGAGATGACGGAGGGGCGATTGAGGGCGCCTCGTATATGCTCGGCCCAGCGTTGTTGAATTTGCGCCCTCTCAGTCAGGAGGGTACTGCCGTCGGCTTTACGGAGAGGAGCAGTGCCTTTCGTCGGCAGACCGTAGACAGTTTTGATCGCGGAGAAGAATTTCTTCCATTCGATGCATGCTGGCAGTTTGTGAATACTTAGTGGTGGCTGATTGAGTTAAGCTCAAATATTCATACCAAACATTGAAGCGTGCCTGAAAATGCCCGTATGGAAAGATTAACTGCAAGTTCGCGCCTTCATTTCCACGGAAATGAAAGAAGGCAAGTTCATATAGCAGAAAAGAGAGGGGGAAAGCTGGGGGGCAAAATTACGGGACGAAACCCTGGCAGCAGCCTCAGGAACCGGCATAAGAAAGGCGAAACAGGCGTCTCTGGGATTTTAGATAATACCTGTGTTGTTAGTACGGTAAGCCATTGCAACGTTTTATACTACTGGATTCCTGTTGGCGGATTGTTAATAATAAGCGGTAGCTGATGGATTTCAGATGAAATATTCTTTAGGGACTTTGGAGCGTTCTTGAATTTTCAAGTTTGAAATGATTTACTCCTTGTTGACGCATATACTTTTTGTCGGAAATGAAATATGGCAAGTTGAAAGTGGAGTTCTTATGGCAGAAAGGTGACGGGGAATGCTGGGGGAGAGACTGACGAGCCGAAGCCCTTGCAGCTGCGTCAGGCATCGGCATAAGATGGGCGAAACACGCATGTCTGGGCTTTTAGCTAATACCTGTGTTGTTAGTAGTACGGTAAACCATTGCACAGTCCTATACTACTGGCTGCCTGTTGGCGGTGTGTCAATATGAAGCGGTAGCTGATGGATTTCAGCTGAAGTATTCTTAGCAACCTTTGGAGCATGCCTGAATAATCCCGTTTGTAAGGACTGACTCCAAGTTGGCGCATATCTTTTTTGTCGGAAATGAAAAAGGGAAGTTGAAAGCAGAGTTCATATAGCAGAATATAGACGTAGAATGCTGGGGTAAAGACTGACGAGCCGATGGCCTGGCAGCTACGTCAGGCAGCGGTATAAGATTGGCGAATCTCGCGTGTGTGGTCTTTTAGCTAATACCTGTGTTGTTAGTAGTACGGTAAACCATTGCACAGTCCTATACTACTGGCTGCTTGTTGGCGGTTTGTAATTATTAAGCGGTAGTTGATGGATTTCAGCTGAAATATTCATCGTAAAATTTGGAGCGTGCCTGAAGCAGCCCATTTGGAATGATTGACTCCAAGGTGGCGCATATCTTCTTTGCCGGAAATGAAAAAAGGGAAGTTGGAAGCAGAGTTCATATAGCAGAATATAGACGTGGAATGCTGGGGTAGAGACTGACGAGCCGAAGCCGTGGCACCTGCGTCAGGCAGCGGCATAAGATGGGCGAAACACGCGTGTCTGGTCTTTTAGATAATACCTGTGTTGTTAGTAGTACGGTAAACCATTGCACAGTTATGTACTACTAAATTCCTTTTGGCGGTATGTGGATATGAAGCGGTGGCTGATGGATTTCAGCTAAAATATTCATTAGGGATTTTGGAGCGTGCCTGAAGTATCAAGTTTGAGATGATTTACTTATTTTTGCCGGATATCTTTTTTGTCGGAAATGAAATAAGGCAAGTTGAAAGTTAAGTTCATATAACAGAAATGTGACGGGAAATGCTAGGGGAGAGACTGACGATCCGAAGCCCTGACAGCTGCGTCAGGCAGCGGCATAAGATGGGCGATACAGCCGTGTCTGGGCTTTTAGCTAATACCTGTGTTGTTAGTAGTACGGAAAACCATTGCACGGTTCTATACTTCAGGCTGCATATCTGTTGGCAGTTTGTGAATATGAAGCGGTAGGTGATGGATTTTATCTGATTTTTTCATAGAATTCTTTGGAGCGCGCACGATGAAGCCCATTTGGGATGATTGACTACAAGTTGGCGCATATCTTTTTCGTCGGAAATGAAACGAGCCATATTGAAAATGGAGTTCATATGGCAGAACTGGACTTGGAATTCTTCGGGAGAGAGTGACGAGCCGAAGCCCAGGTATCTGCGTCACGCGGCGGAAAACGTTGTGAGATGCAAGCGTGTCTGGGCTTTAAGCTAATACCTGTGTTGTTAGTACGCTAAACCATTGCAGAGTTCTATACTTCTGGCTGCCTTTCCATTTCGGTTTTATATTTTTGACCTTTTGCCTTTCCCGAGATTTCTGCCTACTGGACGCTCTGATTAAGAAATTGAATCGTAACCAACAATTACTCGAGCCGAATGTAACTTCGACAGGACTTTCTCTGGGACAACCATTCTCATTTGGACCACTTCTTTGCTTACTTCCACGTCCGACCCCTTATTCCAAGAGCGGCTTAGTCGGTTGTTACTTGCTTCATATCTTTCGCTTCTTTCTTCATTTCGTTCGTCTGATTAAATATCTCCTTGAACATCCTTAAATACGTTTCCAGTTTACATACTTGAAAATGTTAGTCGACCAAGTGCCTTCGGGATTTTGCTCAAAAAGTGATTCGAACCCGTTTGAGGAGGTGACTGGGGCGGCGTCGCTACCAATAGACCACAGACGAGCAAAGGACCCGCTAAAACTAATGATGTGATAAACAATGCACATTGCCTAAATGAATGTAACGCCGGCTTCCCCATTATCAAATCTGCTGCCAAACGGGCCAGGAGTTTAATAACCTTAATGGATGTCAACTATAAGAACGAACATAAAATACATGCGGCATGTTTCAGACTACTCCAGAAAGTCTTGGAGATGGAGAATGAGATGAAAGACCTAAAATTAGAGATGGAGAAGTTGACGCAACTTCCTTGCCATTCATCCGTAAAGGGGAAGTCGCCGATGTCAGACCCTCAGAAATCAAAGAGAACATATTCAAGCACAGTCTCATTAACTGGCTCAGCCGCCAAGTAAGAAGACTGCCCGTCTAAGGAAGAAATCACAACTGAACGACAGAGAGGGATCTCAGGAAACGCAGAAGCGCCCCAGGGCACCCCGAAAAGAAAAAGCAGGTCAGACTGTCTGTACGGGAGAGCAGAGTCCACACAAAATACCAGCAAATACCACATTGCCGAAGGATGCATAGCACGACCAAGAAGGCTCGGTTGCTGAGCAACCCTGTGGTAGCTATGCCATCAGAGCTGTCTCTGAGTCAAACGATGATGACAACGGAAATTGGCGAAATGCTGAACGTGCGTGTAAATATAAACGTAGGGACTCTCTTCCAAACAGGCATCTCTACCGAGAACGAAACATCGTCATAAAGGGAGCTCCTGAGTCCAATTCTTCGAATGCAAAAGAAAGAATCGAACACGATCTCAACCTCTTTCAAACATATTCAAATGCCCTCCTTCTGGGCGGATAATGTGTTACCGTGCACAAAGCTTTCCGTCTAAGAAACGTAGATGCGTCGCGTGCATTACCAAGGCCTCTTAAAATCATTCTTGCAAATAAAGCAAAGGCCTCACATCTCCTAGAAGGGAGGATGGCTCTTCGTCATTCGAATAAGGAAGTGTTTTTCAGTCGGATTACAAACCGACAGAAAGATACAAGATGAGGGAGCTCTGGACAGAACTGAAAAGAAGGGCAGAAAAGTGGAAGAAGGGGTTGAAACTAAAGCAAGACAAGCTAATACAGATCAAACGATCGTTCCTGTGGCTAACCCCCTTTGTAATCAGGGCCAGTTTCCCCCAGGAAGACGAACTCTAAAGGTGATCTATTCGAATGTGTAGAGCCTGTTTAACAAGATGGATGAACTCAGGACTCTGATCGACGAGCACACGCCAGATATCGTCGCCTTGACAGAAACATGACTTTCTGAAGCTGTTGGAGATCATGAGGTATCCCTCAAAGGCTACCAACTGTTCAGAAGAGACAGAACAATCCGAGGAGGAGGGGTCGTTGTCTATGTTAGCTACAACCTAACCGCGGTCCCTGAGCAAAATCCAACAACAAAAGCGGAAGTAGAATTCTTATCTTTAACTATCTCCACTAAATATGCCAGGCCGCTGCCGTTTGCAGTTGTATATCGTCCCCCAAACCAGATTTCCGAACACGATACCCTACTCCTAAGGGAACTGAACATGACCTGCTCGAACAGAGACGTCCTTATTGTCGGGGACTTTAACGCCCCCAATATCGACTGGCAAGCTTGGGCGGTTTCGGATCCATCGAAAACATTCGGACAACATTTGCTTGAATTGGCAGCAGAAAAACTACTTTTCCAGAATTTAACGCTGGGGACACGTGTTAGGGAAGGGCAACGTTCAAATTGCCTCGACCTGGTGCTCACTCGAGACGAGGAGAGCGTACTGGATATACAAGATCACCCGCTAATTGGTACTAGTGATCATATTGTGATGCTCTTCGAGTATTCCATGTTCTCCCAACCTAATTCACCTGAACAATTACAAACAAATATTTGGAAGGACGATTTTTCTAGCATGCGAACGCAAGTCTCAGCAATACCGTGGACAACCACATTGCAGGTAACAGTTAACGACTACTGGAGCACGTTCAGCTCACTGATAACAAGAATCCTTAATCTAAACTGTCCACTCAGACGAAAGAAAACAAGCAACCGTCCGCCGTGGATAAACCGGAAACTTCAAACCGCGTTTAAGAGGAGAAATAAAGTGTGGAGACGCTATCGACAAACAGACAGTCCTGAAGACCTGAAGGAATACAAGCGACAGCGGAATGCGTGTAAACGCGAGGCTCATAGACTTCGAAGCAACTATGAGCTCTGCGTATTACAAAATTCCTTGGAGCATTATAAAATCCTCTATAGTTATATACGTAATGGACAGAGCAATCGTGAACCGATTCCAGCGCTAAGATCCTAAAACGGAGTAATTGAGACAGATGACCACCTGGAAACATCAGCCTTCTCCAATTTCGTTCAGTCGGTATTCACTCATGACACAAACCCTCCTGCCATGCCTTACGT